GGATCTCTTTGCAACGTTATGTATTACACTTATGTATTATACAAATAAAAAGGAAAACTAATGATAATGTAAATAAAACAGTAGCTTGATTAACAAGTAAAAAGCCCAAACCTTACTCTGCATCAGAAACAAAGAGAAGCTAAATCAGAGAGAGGTTTTCGAAAGAAAGTTCTTCATAAATCATACATCTACAGAGGCAGAAGCTAAACGGATTAGAAGCGAAAGATTTCCAAACAGAAATATAGTTTAACCCTAAGGTTTAAAACCTAAAAACTCAAACAGCTAAACAGAGCATTCCATTTTTAATTGGGCTTAAAAAAGACATAAAAGGCCCAATAACTCAATTAAGCCCAATTCGAATTACACCTCTGCGCAGAAGATGATGAGATAACTCAACGCCTCTTCTCCGATACGACTCCGCTGAGAAGCGAGCAGGTTCTGTCTGCTTAAGCTCCTCATGAACTCAATTTCTTCATTTCTGATTCTATAAAACATCCTTAACAACATGTCTACCACATTGTTGAGAACAATTCAGCCAAACCAGTTCTCACTTCTTGGAACTAGCTTGTTAAGAAGGAGAAGAAGTAACAACTTCTCCGTGAGGTCTTGTGGGAGCCAAACAACGACGACCCATGAAGCTAAACAGTCTTCTCCAACAAGGGTCGCACCAAAAAACCACAAAAGCAACAAACTTGATGAGATTCTGAGGGATTACGAAGCAGTGATTGGTATAGAGACTCATGTCCAGCTCTCTACATTGACAAAAGCCTTTTGTAGTTGCTCTAACAATTACGGATCGTATCCAAACACAAGTATTTGTCCTGTCTGTATAGGTTTGCCTGGTGCTTTGCCTGTTTTGAATTCAAAAGTTGTTGAATTTGGTGTTAGATTGGGTTTAGCTTTGAATTGTGATTTGTCTCTTAAGTCTAAATTCGATAGGAAGCAGTATTTTTATCCAGATCTTCCTAAAGGTTATCAGATTTCTCAGTTTGATATCCCAATTGCTTCTGGTGGCTATGTGGATTTGGATATTCCACTTGAGTTTGGTGGTGGACATAGGAGATTTGGTATCACTAGGGTTCATATGGAAGAAGATGCTGGCAAGTTACTTCATTCAGACACTGGAGATTACTCTCAGGCATGGAATTTATGTAGTTTTCAGTTTGGTTTTTGGTTTCAGGTGCAAGATGTTTCTGTTTCTTATGTGTATGTTGGTTACTCTTATGGTGCAGGTAGATTTGAATAGAGCAGGTGTTCCTTTACTTGAGATTGTTTCTGAACCTGATATGAGAAGTGGTATAGAAGCTGCTGAATATGCTTGTGAAATGCAACGGATTGCGAGGTATTTGGGAGTCAGCAATGGGAATATGCAGGAAGGCTCTCTTCGCTGCGATGTCAATATCTCAATCCGTCCTATTTGGCAAGCTGAGTTTGGCACCAAGGTTGAGAAGTTTCTTTCTCTGTATCTTTTGTTGTTATTTGTAGATTCTGAGTTTAACCAGTGAAGGGATGATCCACTCATTGCAGTTTCATATTATCTCGTTGCTGATTCGACTTACAGGTGGAGATAAAGAATTTGAACGCCTTTTCCGCCATTAGCAGGGCAATTGACTATGAGATATCAAGACAAGCACTTCTCTATAATCAGGGCAAAGCTGATCAGATTGTAACGGAGACTCGGCTTTGGGAAGAAGGCGCTCAGGTTCTAAGCTAAAAATCTTTCATTAGGTTGCAATATTTATATCCACCAGCACTAACTTGAGTAGATGTTCAGAAAACAGTAACAATGAGGAAAAAAGAAGGGCTTGCTGATTACCGGTACTTTCCAGAACCAGATCTTCCAGAAGTTATCCTCACCAAAGAATATGTTGATAGCATTCGTGCTTCTTTACCGGAACTTCCTGAAGCAAAGCGCAGGAGATATGAGGCGATGGGTCTAGGCATGCAAGATGTGCTTTTTCTCGCGAATGACGTCAGTGTAAGTCCTAGTGGCTTGATGTTGATAGTATTTTAGTTTATATGATGACGTTATCTTCACAAGAAGACAATGCTGAGAGCAAAAGAGTAAACTTTCTGATCAATTTGGTGAGAATATCAATTTTATGTATAACAGCAAGACGAGTAAACTGTTGTTGGAATGAATGGCGTAGGTTGCAGAATATTTCGATGCAGTCATTGGTAAGGGCGCTGAAGTGAAGTTGGCAGCAAATTGGATAATGAGTGATATTGCTGCTTACTTGAAAAATGAGAAACTTTCTATCAATGATATTAAACTCACTCCGCACGAGTTGGCTGAACTGATAGCTGCAATCAAAGATGGAACCATTAGCGGAAAGATTGGAAAAGAGGTCAGTTCACTTCCATTTAACAATGAATCATCTTTCGTTTGGATCAATGCAACTTATTCAATTTTTGCAGATACTGTTTGAGCTATTGGCCAAAGGTGGAACCGTCAAAGGAATGATAAAAGCAAAAGACTTGGTTCAGGCAAGTCAATGTTATCTCCAGAGAATTACATCTTTCACTTCCCAACAGGCCATTTCTAATTGAAGAAATGACTTTTGCTTCTGTGTGACACACGCTGTAGATCACCGATCCTGTGGAGATCGAGAAAATGGTTATTCAAGTGGTCTCTGAGAACCCAAAGCAGCTTGAGCAGTACCGCAGTGGAAAAACCAAGCTTCAAGGCTATTTTGCTGGCCAGGTATGGCAGATACGATTCACAATTTTTGAAAACTTGTACCTTGTGAATCAGTTCAAACTCGTATATGCTTTGTTCAGGTTATGAAAATGTCAAAAGGCAAGGCAAACCCAGGTTTACTAAACAAGATCCTCCTGGAGAAGCTTAATGCCAAAGACTGATTGAAGCTTCAGCATTGCCAGAAATATTGCTTTTGAATTGGACATTGAAATGATTCAGTTGGTTAATGCTCTTGAACTAGAGTGTTCTTGTACAAATCTTTTTCTTTCCAAATGAAATTAAAGGTGAAATTTGCTATTTTAAAACTGATTGACCAACTGTGCTAATAAAATTACGTTTTCACATGATTGCCTACCTCTGATCGAGAAATTCAGAGCCAGAATTAGCACTTGGATAAGCAGATTCTTGTCTTACTGCAACTGATTCGCTCTGTCCTAATGAGTATCACAAATTTTTGGTCTTCTGCTTTTAGATTACCTGGAGCTTGTATGAAGGTGATAGAGAGTCTTTGCTCAGCTTTTCTCTAGAGTGGGCCTGATTTAAAGACACATAAAGCAAAGATATCATGGCGTGATGTTTGTCTTCCTAAGGGCGAAGGAGGCCTCGGCCTCAGACCTCTTAAAGAAACAAATAAGGTATGTGGTCTCAATTTAATATGGCGTCTACTTGATGCAAAGACGTCGCTCTGGGCGCAATGGGTGCAAACGTATCTAATCCGCAACAAATCTTTCTGGGCAATGAGAGGAGGGACTAACCAAGGCTCGTGGATGTGGAGGAATCTCCTGAAGCTGCGAGAAATGGCAAAAGGTTTTCACCAAAAGCTGGTAAAGAATGGCAAAAACACATCATTTTGGCATGACAATTGGTCTACACAGGGAGTTCTGTTTGATGTTCTTGGGAACAGAGGTTACATTGATCTCGGGGATAAGCGCAACCAGAGAGGCTAGGAAAATTGATGAGGAAGACGTCCATCTGTGGAAATGGAGAACATGCTTTAAGAAGAGTTTTTCAACCCGTGAGACATGGATGCTCATTAGAGAAGAGCGACCAAAATGTGATTGGGCTAATGATGTCTGGTTTCCGCAAGCTACACCGAAATATGCTTTCATCACATGGCTCGCTATGCATAATCGTCTAGCCACGGGTGACCGTATGATGAAGTGGAATCAAACGCCGAACACTGCATGTGTGCTATGTCAAGCTCCGATGGAGACAACGAACCACCTCTTCTTCCATCGTCGTTACTCTAAACAAGTTTGGGGAAAGCTCATGAAAGGCATTCTGCAAAATAAACACACCACGGATTGGAATCAACTTGGTCAGCTAGCTACAAGTGCAACACTGGATCATCGCTCACAGCTACTCCTGCGTTACACTCTTCAAGCAACAACCGCCGACACGGTGAAGAACCCAGACCGTATCAGAAACTCAGCAAACTCATTGACAAAACCATTCGGAATAGGCTATAAGTATTCTTCGCAACTCCGGTGATAAAAATATGAGGATATCCTCATGTTTTGGTTTGATACTCGAAATTAATTTCTTTCTTGAGTCTATAGTTCTAAAAACACTTTCAGAGAAGACACACATGTTGTAACACAAGTTTTTTTGGTGAATTAATTTTACATTCATTCAAAAAAAAAAAGATCAACTGTGCTAATAGTCAATTATTAGTCTATTTAATCTTGAATACGAGAATATGTAAGGTGTCAAATAATGAGTGTTAAATTGTTGATATAGAGTGCCAAAAGCAAGAGATTTTGTATTCTTATTCACCTGAAGAGTTGTTTGTTAAACAGAATCCGTTCTTTTCAAATACCTATCGATTACATCTTGACGCTGCATTGTCGAAAGAAGACTCCGGATCTTCGACAAAAAAGACCCATGTCCTTTGTACTCTGTTTCGGTTTTATAGCTAGGTACTCCATAAGATTGATCTATGAAGAGTGCTTAAGCCATGAGACTTACCTCTTCTTGAGGAGCTTTCCTCATGTTCTCATTCGCTTGCAAATTAGCACTTCTCAGGTTAACTTTTAAAAACAATCCAGATTCAAATTGCTAGACAAAAGACAAAAACTCTACTTTGGCTCTCTAGAGTGTTACCATGAGTCCATGATTCCAACTTTAAGATCAAACTCAAGGGCAAAAGGCGATACTTTAAAACATTATTAATGTAGCATTGACCTAGATTCCAAACTACTCCATCGATGACTCGTTATCATATCATTTGTCTTACAGATTACATTACTCTATCAACCTAGAGTCGTCGAGTCGATACAAATATTCATCACACAAGTAGTTGAAGCAAAGAGATGATGTTATAGTTCTCACATTCTCAGTATATTCAAGCGTTTATCTATAGGCGACCGGTACATATGCTAACCGAAGGGAATCTTGAAAGCAAAACCAAAGCCAAATTAAAACAGCTGATGACATCATGAAAAAAAAGCAAAGCAAATGGATCCTATAATCTATATGTAACTACTACTACTACTACTACCAAGCTTAACACAAATAGATGAAGTTATGCCCATATTTTCTTCTGTTTCTTTGAAGATGAAGTTATTCCAACGTAATCTCTAGGCTCTTCATTTTTCTCAGAGCTGGAATTGGTTGCAAAAGAAACAGGTTTTAGCTTATACAAAATCACATTCCTCAAATCAGTCACTAACTTGCCAAAATTCTTGAACTGTGCATCGTAATCCCTCTCGTCTCTAGACTCATCAGTATAATTCCCAACTCTGTAATAAAAAAAACAAGAGAGTTTCAGTACCTTGAGATTCAAGAAAATATAAAGAGGCAAAGAGAAACCATGACATACTCTATTTGGAGATGGGCAAATTCTTTTCCATCCTCAGCTATGGCATCAACAAGAAGTTTACCATTCATCTCCAAGCACTTAACCAGAAATTTCTTCACTGTATTCTTATTCGATCCCTTCACCGGACTTTTATAAACAAACGCATACTCCTCATCGAATTCGTTCCACCCCGCAATCCCAACCAAACCTAAAAATCGAAAATCGAACAAATCAGAATCCTAAACCCTAGGAAAAAATAGTATTAAAAAAAAAAAAAAACCTAACACACTAACTCTCAGTGGTCCATGACGACAGAGCGTCAAAGGCAAAGGCAGGACGCCCAGTTGCAGTGAGGATGAAACCGGAAACGACGAAAGAAGCGTGAACTACGAAAGCGACTTTGTCGTTGTTACTGCGAAAAGCAGGCATAACTGACCTGATCACACCCATCACTGCATGAGTAGTCACCATTGATTCTGTTTGGAGAGTTCTCGTCAAGTTCAAATGTTTTCCTTGCTTTCCAAGTAAAGAGTAATATCAAAGTTGTATTGTATTCCTCTGACCATAAAGGTCGGGATATTGTTATGTACACAAAAACGAATTGTATACACGAAAAGAAATAAAATTATTGGCATAATTATCTCCATAACACGAAAATAATCTTCCTCATTATTTTATTTTGCTATTTTTTCGGATTAGTAACAGTATAATCTCCCTATTAATTCCACCACAAATTAATGTCCAGAAAAAAAAAAAAAAAAAATTCACCACAACGAAGATGGTTAAAGAGTGTAACGCCTTGAGGCAGTCCATCGTTATCATAGTCCAATTCAAAACCAAAATTAAAAAGTGACCTATTTTATATGTTATATAAATAATTCCAGACATTAACAAGGTTTTCTAAGAGCATATAGTATTATATCAAATAAAACTTTACATAACAAAAGTAACAATGAACGACACCAATTTAGTGAATTTTATAGAGTTAAAAACATTAGAATGATGCAAAAAAGCTAACGATCGAGAGATTAACAATCGCCGCGGCTTAGATCAACAGTACCCCTTCTTCTCAATTGGGTCTGCCATTGGTTGAGCGAATGAATGGCCAGGAGCTCAACAACGGCAAAATCATCGTGAATGAGGTTTGATATGGAAATAGGAAATTGCCTTTTTCCAAAAGCCAGTTAAATATTTTCTATACTTTTGTATTGAACTTGTGTTATTGTTGCAAGGACATACGGTAAAGTGACTTGTTATAATCAACAAGTGACCGCAATGTAGTGACACTCATAAGTCTACCAAGAACCGACTCATAAGTCTACCTAGAACCGGCACGACTTCATCCGGAAATAATTGGGGTAAATGGATCAATCAAATGTGCCCAATAGATGGAAAACAAAATAGTTACTGAGTTTCACTCGAAAGTTGGACGTATTTAAGTTAATGTGGTTATATCCGACATTTTATCCTCAATTTGAAGGCTTGTTAAAAGGGATCCGCTTTTATTCCTTTCCAAAAACAATAATATTCAGCGGTTGCAAGTTGCAAAACTTGAGAGCCCAAACGTGTAATAACACACTGAAACTGTAGAAAAGAAAACTCATATTGCATGAGATCACTCACCTTTTAACCTAATCCTTGACAGACTTATCTGCCTTTTAAAAATGACAACTTTAAACAGAAAAAATCTCTTTTATTTTGCTCCATAAATTGTGTTGGTTCCTTCACTATTGCTTGCTCAAGTTTCTGATAACATATGGAAGTATGCCTCCATGGTTGAAGTATGCCAATTCCACCTACACATTTATTTTACCATTATTAGTTCGTCCACATTAAATGCTTTTTTTCTCCACCAAACGTTTTGAAGATTCGAGTATTTAGTTACCTCTGTGTCGAAGCGGACTGTGCAAGTGAAAGATTTTCCGTTGTCGGTAGTGACAGTAACATCTTGGCCAGGTCTTATCTCTGAGATATCGGTTGGGAGATTGATTGTGTAGCGTTCGTGACCAGTCAATCCAAGAGTATCTGCATCTTCCCCGGACTTAAAGCACAGTGGAATGATTCCCATTCCCACCAAGTTGCTTCGGTGAATCCTCTCAAAACTCTTTGCAATCACCGCTTTAACGCCCTGACAATCCCAAACATTTTGTTTCAGATAAAACAGTAAGATGGGTTTATGCGGAAAAAAAACGAGAGAACTGGTTCTAAACCTGTAGCATGGGTCCCTTGGCAGCCCAATCACGTGAGCTACCACTTCCATACTCAGCTCCAGCAAGAATAATTGTGTCTTCACCAGATGACTTGTACCTCTGATACATTTGACATTATGATAAGGAGACATTCAACATGATCAACGTACAGTCAGTAGTACAAATTTTAGTTAGATATATACAAACCATGGCTGCGTCAAAGACTGAGAGCTTCTCTCCAGATGGAATGTGAACCGTCTTAGGGCCAACCTCACCATTCATGAGCTTGTTAACAATACGGATATTAGCAAAAGTGCCTCTGGCCATTATTTCATCATTCCCACGGCGACTTCCATATGAGTTGAAGTCCTTACGGTCAACGCCACGCTCGATGAGAAACTTTGCAGCAGGACTGTCCTTTTGGATGTTCCCAGCTGGTGAGATGTGATCAGTGGTGATACTGTCCCCAAAATTGAGCAAACAGTAAGCATCCTTCACATTGTGTGGCCCTGGAGGATCCATGGTCATGTCCTTAAAGTATGGAGGCTCGTGAATGTAAGTAGAGTTGGGATCCCATGAGTAAAGGGTATTCTCAGGAACAGACAGCTTATTCCACATGGGGTTACCCTTGGTGATTGACTCGTATGTTGCTCGGAACATGTCAGGCAAAACACTGGATTGAACAACCTGATCCATATGTCAAAAGACTTATTTAATATTTGTGTCCTAAAAAGAAGTTATTGTTCTCTGGTTAAGTCGTACATACCTCAGCAATTTCTTCCGTGGTTGGCCAGATATCTCTTAGGAAGACGTCCTTGCCATTCTTTCCAGTGCCAATAGGCTCCGATTCAAAGTCGATGTTAACCTGGAAAATAAGAAAGAAGAATGTTAAATTACCAATATGATAATGAGTCATGTGTCATTATCTCACACAAAATGTTGGTTGAACTTTGACAAGTTCCCAAGATTTATTACCGTGCCAGCAAGAGCATAGGCAACCACCAAAGGAGGAGAAGCAAGGTAGTTGGCTCTTGTTAGAGGATGAACACGCCCCTCAAAGTTCCTGTTCCCGGAAAGAACAGCAGCCGCCACAATGTCTAACAACAAGCACCACAAATTTTGATAACAATTGGCCACCTATATATAATAGTAATATATAGGATGAAGGTCCAAAGTAAGTTTAGTTGTGAATCTCAATAATACCATTTTCGGTAATAGCAGCTCCCACTGATTCATTAATTTCTCCAGAATTCCCAATGCAGGTAGTGCAACCGTAGCCGACAATATTGAAACCCTGTTGATTCAGATATTCTTGCAGTCCACTGCATGAAGTAAAAATATACACTTAAAATTTCCCGCACAAAAGCAAGAATCAGCCTTTAACAACAAAGAACTTGAAAACACTACAACATACCTCTTTAACAAGTATTTTGTAACAACTCCTGAGCCTGGCGCAAGACTTGTCTTTATCCAAGGCTTAACCTATAGAGGCAAGTTTTTGAAAAGGGATCAGAAAAAGTCGAGGCATCAGATAGAATTCTAGTTTGATCTCGTGAAACCAACCTGTAGGCCAAGGTCACACGCCTTCTTTGCAACAAGACCAGCACCAAGCATGACACTGGGATTTGATGTATTAGTACAGCTTGTGATTGCAGCAATCACCACACTTCCATGTTTAAGCTCTGCTGGTTCTCCATTAAACGAAAAATTTGCCACTTTTTCTTGTGCGTCTTTAGGTATAGCAAAACCCTGCATAGAATGTATAACAATATTCAGAAATGAACAGTGGTATCTAAAAAGTGCACCAACAGTCTATTGAACGAGCAAATGCTTAGGAAATCAGACCTCCACAAAACGAAACATCTAGTTACATACCTTGAACCCAACTTTACTGTCAAGACATGAATGCCAGTCAGCTTTCATATCCTTCAAAGTAACACGATCATGTGGCCTGAAAAGTAGATATCAATAATATGGTCATGATCCAATAATCAGACAATAAAATTTGTGATTACAAAAACTGACAGAACCCATACCGCTTTGGTCCAGAAATGCAAGGTTCAACATTATCCAGGTTCAGTTCTAGATATGATGAGTAAACTCGGTCTTGCTGAGGCTGAAATTTATTAACAAAAAAGTCAAATAAAAACCTGAAACGAGATAAAATACTTAAAACCCAAATATAAAGGATAAGGCTGATTTACCTCATTGTAGTCAACAAACATATTGTTAGCGCGAAGATATGCTTCAATCATGGCCACCTGCCATGAAAGTACTGTATCAGACCAGATATATATATAGAAGGAAGTTTAAAGCCAAACACTCACTGTCTCATCGCTTCTTCCAGTCAATTTGAGATACTGTAGAGTAACATGATCCACAGGGAAGAAGCCCATGGTTGCACCATACTCGGGAGACATGTTGGCAATGGTTGCCCTGTCAGCTAGGGACAGCCCACTCATACCATCACCTAAGAAGAAAAATGTAGCCTTTAGAATGCTCCAATAAACAAATGTCTATTAAAAAGGAGCATAACACTTAAGCGCTCACAAAGATGTAGATTACCATAAAACTCAACAAACTTTCCAACAACACCATGCTTCCTCAGCATTTGAGTCACTGTTAGAACCAAATCAGTAGCTGTTACACCATTACGCATTTTTCCGGCCAGTTTGAATCCAACAACACCAGGCAATACCATACTCATGGGCTGTCAAGCAAAAAAGAGTCATCAGTATAAGAAAGATTGAATATAAAACCTCACTAAACTGGAGCAGAATAGTCGTACAATATAGTCACCAGATTCACAAACATAGGATCTGGATAATGCTCATAATCAAAATAATTACCTGCCCAAGCATTGTTGCCTCAGCTTCAATGCCTCCAACTCCCCATCCAGCAACTCCCAAACCATCAATCATAGTTGTATGTGAATCAGTTCCAACCACGCTGTCTGGGTAGAGAAGGCCTTTGGTATTGAACACAACTCTTCCAAGATATTCCAAATTGACCTGAATTTTCAAGATGAGGTTTAGTTTGAGACAAAATCATTTCAATACACTGAAAACATGAGGTTGAAAAGGATATATATCAATGTCAGAACAAGTTTAGAAACAAATTATGGACTCACACACTACAAGAGAATTACCTGATGCACAATACCAGAGCCAGGAGGCACAACAAGCATGTTCTGGAACGCAGTAGAACCCCATTTAAGGAAAGCAAACCTCTCCTTGTTCCTCTGGAACTCAAGCTCCATGTTTGCTTGCACTGCATTCTCAGATCGAGCAACATCAACTTGAACTGAGTGGTCAATCACAAGATCCACCGGAACCTGAGAGACACGGTATACATAAGAATTCTAGAAGAATCCTAAGCTAAACAAATAGCATCAATCTGCGCAAAATAACAAAATACCAAGGGATTGATTTTGTTGGAATCACTGCCCAGCTTATTCATCGCATCACGCATACAAGCAAGGTCAACAACAGCTGGGACTCCCGTAAAGTCCTGAAGAAGAACACGAGCCGGTTTAAACGGAATCTCGACTTGTTTAGGAGATGTTTTTTCCCAGTCAATAATCTTCTCAACATCTTCCTTAGTAACTTGAAAGTTATCACAATTACGAATCGCAGATTCAAGAAGAATCCTAATAGAGTAAGGAAGTTTATCTGCAAATAGATCACTCCTCTTAGATTCAGGTCCTTCATAAACTCATTCATAGAGATACTCAAAACTACATACCAATTCGTGGATCATTAAGAGCAGGTAAGCTATAGAACTTTCCAAATTCACCACCACCAGGCTTAGGAAGAGTAGTGAAGATCCCTTTAAACGGATGCTCTGACGCTGAAACAATAATAATCGCAAAAAAAACTGTTACTAAATCAACAGAGATCGGAAAATTCAAGCACTAAGATCAATCAGATCGAGAAACTTTACCCATGGAAGAGAAGGTTCTCTCGAGACGATCTAAGACTGGAGAAACAGCTCTGATCTGAGTGGTTAAGCGAAACGGAGATGGTTTTGAGTGAAAACAATGGCTCCAACGAGGAAGTGAACGAAAAGCAGGTGAAATGGTACCAAAAGATCTACGACCGAGAAGAGACGACGGTGGAGATAATAACGATAGAATTTTAGTTTTATTTTAATGTAAATTATTCTGAATTGTGTGAATATATCTTTTTTAAATC